GATGGAAGAGGCAGGTGATGGCAGAGAGGAGGATGTTAAAGAGCACCGGAGCCAAGACACAGCCTTGCTTCACCCCAACGTTTACCTCGAAAGACTCAGACAGGAGTTCTCCCGTGAGTACTCTGGCTTGCATCCCATCATGCAGCTGCTGTAGGATGCTGAGAAACTTGGGTGGTACCCCAAGTTTGGAGAGGTTTCTCCAGAGCAGCTCACGGTTGATGGTGTCAAAAGCTTTGCTGAGGTCGATGAAGGCTACGTAAAGGTCTTTGTGCTGTTCTCGACTCTTCTCCAGCAGCTGCCTCAAGACAAAAACCATATCTGTCGTGGATCTTGACTTCCGGAAGCCACACTGAGTTTCCGGAAGCACAGCTTCCGAGATGTGTTCGACCAATCTGCTGAGCATGATCTTGGCCAGGACTTTCCCTGCAATGGAGAGGAGAGATATCCCGCGGCTATTACCGCACACTGCTCTGTCTCCTTTCTGCTTGTAAATGACCACGATGTTAGCATCCTTGAAAACAGTTGTGCTGCTTCATATTTTTGGTTAGTGTTTAGTATAGATTAGCTCTATTACACTGAAAAAATGTAAAATCTAAAATAATTGGTTTTATTCAAGACAAAAATATTATTTATCATAACCAGTGTTATTGTAGTATTATATATTTTTTATGTTAAATTAGAATATATTTTTATACTGTCTGTTTCACTTTAATTTTAAACTTTTAGTAATTTGTTTTACTAGCCTTTCTTTTAACAGTCTATATAGTATTTATTAATTTTTATTTATTAGTTTTAGTCTATTTAGTTTTAGTGATTTTAGTACTTAAACTTTAAATGTAAATGAGAAACGATGCCTTGGCAACTAGCTGAAATAAAATACGATTAAGGGTTTTTTATATTTTATTTCAAGTAACAAAGAATTTTTAATAAAAAATGTATGTTTTTATTATTATTATTTACAGTTTTAGTTTGATTTATTTATGTTAGTTTTAGTTATCAATACAGTTTTTCTCGACTGCTAACACAATTCACCATTTCCTCACAACTATAAACACAATCTCAAAACTACACACACACTTCCAGGTCAAATTCAAATAGTTTAGTCAAAAACATGTTCTCTTTTGTCAGACTCAAACTTTGGCCTCAGATGATACACAAACCTGTCAAATACACAGACTATTTTCCTGCCTACACTCTTAAAAATAAAGGTGCTTCACGATGCCATAGAAGAACCTTTTTGTCTAAATGGTTCCATAAAGAACCTTTAACATCTGAAGAACCTTTCTGTTTCACAAAAGCTTCTTTGTGGCGAAAGAAGGTTCTTCAGATTATAAAAACACAAGAAAGAGATGGTTCTTTAAAGAACCGTTGACTGAATGCTTCTTTGTGGAACCAAAAATGGTTCTTCTATGGCATCGCTTGAAGAACCTTTTGAAGCACCTTTATTTTTAAGAGTGTAGAGAACACTAGTGAGATCAATTCAAAACACTGCTACAAAAACCTCCTTTTGGGAAACAGGAATTCTTTTGCTAGTCAATGTCTGTTACATTATACGACATAAATAGAGGTGTGCAGATACCGTAAAATTCAGCAATAAACTTTAAGTAAAGTTTACTGTCATTACACTACTGTAAAGAGATCTTACAGTAAATGAAAAGCACTACAAGAGAAAAGTTCAAAACCCAAACAACAGAACATACAGTAAACACACATTGCAATATACTGTCTGAACGACATGAATAAATAAATTAATTCATGCATCCATTCATTCATTCAGCATCCTAAACCAATTTGCATTACAGTATTGGTAGTATCCTTATTTGTTATAGTAGTTTCTTAGTCTTCTGACAAAAGACTTCTCTCAGTTCTGCACAAATACAGTACACACTTGGCTACAAATCAGTTCAACAGTAATGAGTTTGAGGCTGTATAACATGTGCTACAGTATTTACTGTAGATAGAATAATGAAAGTTCTCTCATCTGAAGTACTGCTACTATGTACTGTAATTATATAATACACAAAAGTGTATCATGTAAGTAGTATTGAAACCCTGTAGATGAGCTGTAGTAGTGCTGGGCGGTATGACCAAAAAATTACCTTTGACCTCATCCCCTTCGTTTTTATTTTCCACTCCTATTCCTCTTTGTCTCCCACTACCAGGATTAATTTTCTAAAACTCATAATCACTTGTGTTCTTGTTCATATCATCCTGAGATTCTGACCTGTGTGTCATCAGTTTTGCTACTGAATGTTCACACATGGATAAATGTGTGCTGTTTGAGTTAATTTTTTGATGCTTGAGTTAATTATATTGTGTGTTTGTGTTTTCTGAATGAGAACCTGGTTAAACCTGTGCAAAACGATGGTGTTTTTTGTGTAGAGTAACACTGCAGAAAAAACACTGAGCAAATTGGAACGAGTGTGCAAACAGGTGAAATGTGTTAAAAGTTTTGAGAAACGTGTCTTTGTTTCGAGAACCGTATGAATGGCTTGGAAAATTGGGCCAAATGAATCAGTTATAGTGTGTCAGCAATCGAGAAAAACTGTAATAACCTAGCTCTGAACATATACAACAAAACTCATTTTTATGGGTTAAATCAGGTAGAAATATACTTATGCAATCATTGAGTAAAGATAATTTTTATGTGGAATCAGAAGCAGAATTGCAATTCCTATACAGGCAGTTCTTTTGATATGAATATATAGAATATATGTGTGTGTGTGTGTGTGTGTGTGTATACCTACTTAACCATATTTTGGGGACAAATTTGTACCCAAAAGTGAGCTAGACCTGACAAAATATCCAAAAACCTCCCTTTGGGGATGTCCTCATTTGGAAAACTGGTATAAAAATAAAGTAAACAAAGTTTTTTTTAAATTGTAAAAATGCAGAAAGTCTCCTGTAAGGGGTAGGTTTAGGTGTAGGGCAATAGAATATACGGTCTGTACAGTAGAAAAACCATTACGCCTATGGAATGTCCCCATTTAGATAGCCAAGTAAACGTGTGTGTGTGTGTGTGTGTGTTTGCACATATTGGAGAATGAAGCCGCAGAGGAAGCGTGGCAGATGGTGAAGGGGAGGATAAAGCACAGATTACCGTCAGGACAAAAGTCAAGTCACACTCACTCTCATGGCAGATGTCAGCGTGATTCACACTGTGCTGTCAGCTAGCATGTGTCTCATGTGTGTGTGTGTGTGGACTGTTGTTGTGATTTGTTTTAAAGGAGGACATGGAATGTGTGAAATGTGTATTCAGTGTTAATTACAAAGGGATCTCCAGCATCACAATCAATTTTCTGCTTCAATCGGTCCAACTCCTCAGTGCTGGGTCATGTGGCTGGATGCCAGGATGTGGCTATGCGGTTGCTAAGGTGTTCTGACTGTTTTTAGCATGTTGCTTTTTAGGTTGCCAGTGTTTTCTGGGTGGTTGCTAGGTGACTGCTTACTCAGGGCAAAAGTCAGTGTTTTCTGTTTGAAAGTTTCTGGATTCTGTTTAAAGGGTTTGATTACATTTGTAATAATCAAAAAGGATGTCTAAACAATTGAATTAATAAAAGTTTAACAATTTAATAATTCATTACATTTTTAACCACACACTGTTAAACAAACCCAGCTGTTTTTACAAAATAAAACTGGTATCTGTTATACAGTAAAAAAGTAAACAACTTGCAACTTGTAAATCTTAGTTTAAAATTGTTGTCATTTACAAAAACAAAAAAATCCTTTCACATGGACCATTGACACACCATTGTAGATAGTGTCAATGGTCCATTTGAGAGATAGGTGGCGGTAATGCACTTATAAGTCTGTGATCTACCGTAAAGCAAGAAGAAGAAGAAGACGACGCCTCACGCGCCTGCTGTTGAGAACGTGCTCAGGAGGACGCGCCGCCGCTCAGGACAGTTCGAACAGTTCGGACATTGCAGTGCATCAGAGGTAAAAAACGATATAAATACTGTTCAGTTTCTTGCACAGACAGATCGTTTCGTGTCTTTACGCATCAATGTATCGTCACGAGCCGCAGGGTTTCATTTGGTTTTGTTTGTGTATGTTTTTTGACTCTCAAAGCCGTGATTCCCATTCACTTCCATTATATGACTGACAGACTGCAACGGTTTGAGTTAAAAATCTCCGTTTGTGTTCTACTGAAGAAACAAAGTCACCTACATCTTGGATGCCCTGGGGGTAAGCAGATAAACATCACATTTTCATTTTTGGGTGAACTATCCCTTTAACATATACTTACCACCAAGCCACATGCTTTTCCACAAGCTGAGGTAAATACTAACATATATAGAAGATACACAGTGTCATACACACAGACACAGAACACCATCACGGTAGCACAAATCACACTAAAACAATGCAATAACATTTAACATTCATTTAACAACAGAAGATGATACATTAATCCCTAATGTACATAACTGATAAGAAGTGATATTTCGGAACAGTTATTTCTGAAATTAGCAATTTAATGATGAGAAATTGAATGAATCTTCTAAAATGTTCCTTTAATTTTTTATGGCAATACAGAGTCCATAACAGA